CCCCCCATTGGGCGCCAACTACTGTGTGGAACTGCCATAAGCGACCGTGCAGCCAGAGAGGGGTTCATGTTGTCTTTATTTTGTTCACACAGTACAGCTGATTTTGAATGGGTAACAAGAATAGCAATTAAATCTTCAGGAGACAGAATAAGGTTAGCTATTAATTTTATAATGAAATCCTACTCCTGGCACTTGGGAATTCAGATTATCCAAGAAAGCTGCGCTTGCCTATCATCATATATTTGAAATTAAGATTCACAACCAAGAAAAAGCGGTCAGAAATGCTTTGTTTCAGTGGAAGTGCATTTTTACCTCACCTAGGATTCACAGTTGTACTGGTAGGTTTTGAACCTACTACCTATCCCTTCCATAAAGACCTCCTAATTCTATTTATATCTCAATCATCTGAAATTTTATTTAGCTAAGAATGTAGCATGTGAAACAACTAAAAAATGCGAGGGTTAAAGCAAATCCACTGAGGTCATTACTCTGGTCAAAAAATCAGTTATGTGTACCATAATAAATGGAATAAATGTATCCAAATTCAGTATTATTATAGGATATTCTCAAAGAGCTGGCTTTCACATTCTGTTCCCAGTTATGAATGAATTATTTTGGTAAATTACTCAGTGTCCTCCTACAAATCAAAGTGTGTGAAATAATAGGCATCTGGGGAGGGGGACTGCAACAGCTGCAACATAACCCACACATTTAAAAACAAAATTGAATCAGGTCAGTTTACAAATGTACAGGTGGCTACTAGTTGTGGGGCTGTCACTGTTGTCAAAGCTGGTCACAAGCAGAAAGACATATACTGTACAGTAATTCGAGGTTGGCAGTGAAAGGAAGTAATTAAAAAACAAGTACAATTATAGAAAAGGCACCAAGAGCACTGACCCCAGTTTTTACTGCAATGTTTTATATCTACCTTCCTTCTAAAGACACCAGTTTAAAAGCTTATTTGTGAATATTTTTAGGCTTCACAACAAGCCTTGAGTTTTAACTCACAGTTGGCAGCCAGAACCAAGTAAAAACATCTCAGCTTCACACCAACTGATCCTCAAACCTAACCTGGGGATTTTAAACTGGCATCAGCAAATGCAAACTTCATTCTTTCAATTTGACATTAGTAGTTTAATTTTTAAAAGCATCAGATTTCTTTGGCTCCTCATCATGTGGAAATAGTAATATACCACGGCATCTCTACAAGACCAGTCTCTGTCTTCTTCATTTTCATTTTTTTGTACAATTTAATTACAGTTTCTGATATCCAGCAGGAGGTATGAAAACGTGACATTTTTCTGCTCTTCATACTATTTTTGTCAGGTTCTGATCGTTCTAAGTTGTTGGAGTGAGTGGGTGGTGTTGAGCTATGTAAGGATTCATCTTATGATTATCTGTTTTGCAAAAAGTAACTTAAATTTTCTTAAGCAATATTAGCATCCACATTACTTGGCACCATTGGCAAAAAAAGTTTTAAATAAAATAAACTAAACTCCTGGTAGCCGAAATTAAATGTAAACATATCCTTTTTTTAATGTTACTCTGCCTTTGTTCCTAAGTCTAAATACAGTAGCTCTTTTTTTTTGCAGTTTAATCATGCTTTAGCAAAATGTTCTTCTAAAGAACATTTAAAATAAAGTACTCTTATAGTGAAATAAAGGTTTTTTTTTGTTTCATTTTACAGACCATAGCCACTAATGCTTTGCTTTTTGTTCATTTCTTTTTTCTTGATTTCATGCACATATCTCTTTAATATATACAATATATACAAACAATACATCCACATCTTTTCTTGCTCAGACAAAACTATACAAATAATTTTATCTTGCCGTTATTGACCTTTGTGAATAAAATATTTAGCAATTAATATAATCCCTTTCAAATATTTTCTCACTTTTCATTTCTACTTTCTATATATACACAGAAACTGCTCTGTTTGGATGAGATAGAGCCAAAAACATGGAATTTACTGGCCAGAACGCAGCACCACACTGGTCGTTTAGGTGGCAAATGTCCAGGCAAGGTTTATGATTCCTCAGAATTACTAGTTTCCAAGGTTACTAAAAAAGGCTACATGCTTTACCAAGTCTTAATTCTCATTGCACATGAAAGTAAGGCAAAAAATTAAAGTGCTGAACATGAGAAAAGGGGACAAGATGATTACTATCCTCGCAGGTTCTTGGGAGGTGGTGGGGACATGAAAATAAATTTAAACTCTGTAAGCTGTTTCTCGTTATTTCCCATGCATTACCCGTTTACTACACACCCGCCCCTCTGCAAATTTCCACAAGACATCAAAAACCTGCAGATTTCAAAAGTTGCATTAAGTGTGCTGTAGAGATCAAAACAAGTGAACAAAAATGAAATAAGAACCAGTGAAGGAAATGAGAACACACGGAACCAATAAAGATTTGTATGATCTAAGCCCTCCATTGATAATCGAGCCCACAGATTCAGCTTCTTGGAAATAACCACAGGTGCAGGTACAGCATTCTTC